TTTAATAAGTGTGAGAGTTTGTTGTTATGTATCACTTTGGGATTTTCCAGCCTGCTGCGATTGTTATTCAAATGAGATGAATCATTGGCAGTGGTACTAAGGCTTATTTCGCAACGTGTTTACTGCTCTTTCTTTCTTTTTTTGGGTGTCTTTTTTATGCAAAACAATATCAGCATTATTCTGGTCACGTTTTTGGCATAGACCTATTGTGTATAATGGATTAAAATTGATATTTTGTTTTTGTCGATTCAACGAAAGCGATATTCTTGTGGCGTGTGGACGAGGAGTAATGGTAGTTGGGCTGTGTCAACCATACTAGAAGCTACAGAGTTCTTGACTATCACTATCACGTGGTTGAGCATTTTGAAATTAGTTAAAAAAAAATTTCATACCTGAAAATTCTGCTTGATTCATAGGTTTTAAGAATGTTTAATGGTTGATGTGAAATATTTAAATAAAAATATCTTTAAAAATAATTTTTGGTTCCTACTAAATCCTAATAGGGGAAATGGCTCTAACGTTGGCCTATGGATCTAAGATTGGGCCCATCCCTAAAAATCTGCTATTTATCAATTTTATCAAGATGAACGCATCATTGAGACGGTAGGGTTTTTGATCTAATTTCCGTCCTACTAAGCACAACCCGCGCTTTACCTCTCTTTTCTGAACGAGTTTAAACAAAAACTAGAATATTTCTATCAAAGATGACTTTTAAATTTATTCACCTTTCCATACGTACCGTTGGATTTGATACAGAGTCACAAATTGTTGAGATATTGATTAAAAACTAAAACTGCTTTTTGATTCTAAATTTGTTCTACAAGTTTCAATTCCGTCCTAACGCATTGAAACGCCATTAGGAGCGCTTCTTCTGTTTTGGAAACAATGAGCGTAAATATTCATACAATGCGCTCAAATAGGATTTATGTTGATGATGAACTAACGCATCCGAACAAACCTATTATTGATTTGTGCACGGTGAAATCATTGATATTATTGATCTTTTATGATTGATAGAACGGAAATGGGCGATTACGACTAAGTACCCGAGCAAAGCTGAAGATCAAATTGAAATCAAAATTTGCTGTTAAGATGTAACTTATTCTGAATACTCCAGTTGATCTCATTTTGGTTGACTTAACGGTTAACACAGCAAAAATGAGAGCAAAATTTTACACTGTTGAAGCAAACGGAAAACTAATCCTGCTTTCAATGAAATCAATTTGTTTACTGATTTTGCATTCATAATGTTCAACTGAATACGAGCCATGTTTCTCAAGCTGAAAGACTTGGGCTCCAATCTCACCCCGGGCAAGTCACGAATGACCTAAAATGTGTTTAACAAATCAAATAAACAATAATCATTAGTTCAACGACAGATGAATTTAAATTAAATTTTAAACAAGACGTAAACAGCAGAACTTCAAGTTAAGTTGCTTTCATTTAAAAAGTCTTGACTGCATAATGAAAGCACAATATGATATCAGACTTATGTCGCAACATTTGAAATCAAAATGAGTTTTCATTATGATAGGAGCTGCACACTTTAATATCGATTTGCTTTCATTTTGTTAACCGACTTTGCTCGGGTAGCGCTCTACCATACTAATGGATATTTTTGGTTGCTATTGAAAATTTAGTCGATTGCTGAATTTATGTATTGGCCCAAATTAGGGGCGTTTAGGCCGACATTATATCTATTCGCCTAGTATATGTTTTAAAATGTTTGCAAGTATAATGTGCATCTAACAGTCGGTATGTTATGTAGCGATACTATGAACACAAATTTCAATGAATTCTCGTAACCGTAACTGGTCACAGTGAAAATAGTGATTCTATTGTCTGTTTTTTGCAGACAGACTCCGCACCCAGAAGTGGAATGGAAACTTTTCGCTTTTTCTGAACGGTTTTCAGGCGATACATTACAGATTGGAGATTGCTCAGCTAGACAACAAAAGGTTGGCATGGCATTTCATTTGGGGAAAACAAAAAGAATGTTTCTAAGGTAACTAGAGCGAAATTACCATCCTCTAGGCAATCTCAGCACACTCGTGAAAGGGCTTCCTCAGATACCTTGATGTGATGAGGAAGAGAAAACATCCCACATTCCGTTAAAATTGTTGTTACTGCACCCAGAAGTAAAAACGTTTTGCGGCAGTAGTTGTAGCAATTCCGGCTACACGTGCCGTGTTATGTGGGTTTTCTTCCTTTCATTGTTGCTAAACCAAGCCGGATTCACTAGTTCCTTGGTACCGAGATATATGTAGTTGAAAAGCACCATTTCGCATAGTTTAACCCACGCCGGGATATAAATTGCCATAAAAACCTTGAATTTATTTCAAACATCTTCGTCGTTTGGATCATTCGCTTCATGATTATCGTTCGTGTATGTTTTCTTTCTCCTTGGAAATGCAGCCATGTGTGTCTGTATATGTATGGTAACTTTACATATTGTTTAACCTTTACCTTTAAAGGAACAACTTGCGGATCAATGATTTTTTAGGAAATTCATTGGACCATTTTTGACATGAAATTTGAATGTTTCCTCTGGTGGTTCATTCGTTGATGATTTGTAGATTTGTCAGCTTCAAATTTTAATGCAGATTTTTCTGGGTATTCACAGCATAAGCTAAAGATAAACATGCAGCTAATGGAGAAAAAAAAAACGTTGTTTAAATATATATTTATTAGGTCATGAATTGTTAAAACAGTTGCTAAGGGGTCCATAATAGGCTAATTTACCCTATGTGAGCAAAGAATGAACCACACAGGCAGTGCCGGAATAGCATATGAGCCTTCCCGCCTGTCTGTAATATCACGACATCGTAGCAGACAGGAGATAGTGGGATGTTTTAACCACGTGAAGAATGATGGCCTTTTTGAAATGCTTGGATGCAGTAGGGATGACAGTTTTACAGCAACACATGAATAAACCTATTCATCATTCATTATCATCAGTGGCCGTTTAGTTTAAAAGGATGATAATCCCTGTTAGGAGGATTGTTTTTTGTGAATTAATGATTATTTTGAATTGAATACCCTTAGCGTGTTATTTTCTTATGACCTTAAGTAATTTTGTATTTTTCTTCAGTTGCTTAAAAATATGGCTGAAGTACACGATCCATCAAATTAGGATCTGTCCTAACGAACAAAATCTTCTGGGCAAAAGCTAGGGGATAACCGCTATAGCGGATAAGCGGATAGTCACGAATGACTATAATAAAGAGAAAATATAAAAATAAACTTTTTAATATTGATTATACACTTTTTTGAATTTAAATATTTCATATTTTAAAACTTATTTCAGTTTTTAAAACTTTTTTTTTTAATTTTTACTCAAAATAAAAATAAAAATTACCTTGTATAATTTTCGCAGATTGACTTTACTTTTCTAAACAACTTTGTCTCAGACGTTATTTCGATCAGAACTGACGTGTTAGTGCTACAATTTATTGAAAAATGTAAAAGACGCCATTTTGAATAAAATACAAGATCCAAATGGCCGTATTCTTGCACAAATTTGAATGATTGCCCAGCCTTAAATTTTTATTTTTGCATCCTATTTGGCTTGGAACTGGTCAAGGGTTAAATCTCATCTCATTGAATAGTTTTTCAGTTGACTTATTTTTTCACGCAGAAAATACTTTTAGGAAACAATTGCGACATATCAAACTTCATAGTTTTTCAAAACTCGGCGGATAATGGCTTTATTGAGATGCCACGGCCACATTGACCATCCCGGAAATGGTATAGTGCCCTAGGGGAAGTGGCCAATTCTCAACAAGAATTAAAACGCGTCGTCAAACTTCATGGTTATTAAAAAAAACTTGACCGGCAATGGCCTTATTGAGAGTGCAAGGTCACATTGGTCCTCCCGGATATGTTCCGTTCCGGTGTCCTCAGGGAAGTGGCCAATTCTCTACTAGAAATAAAACCCGTCGTGTGACACATCAAGTTCCATGATTTTGCAGAACTCGGCCAGTAATGGCCTTATTGAGAGTCCACGGTCATATTGGGTCTCCCGGGCATGTTCCAGTGCCCCCATAAATGTGTCGATGCCCCGGAGAAATTGCTAATTCTCAACAAGAACCGTATCTATATCGATGATGCTCTCACATTCAGAACTTGTGTCACATGATTAAATGACAACTGAATATATTTGGCACACAGGACTGAAACGTCGTCCATCTGCAAACAATTCGAATGAAATCAAATTTCCAATTTGTTTTGGTCTCCATTCGTTCATATCTCTTTCAATCTCATGGAGAAAGGAGACAAAAAGAAAAGTTAGCTTTTGCGTGCAGTGTTTTTTTGAAGCTCTGATGCTAATTTGACAGCTCCTACTGTTCGTTTACGATTATTCTGGCACAGACAAACAGACGTAACACTTCATTGTGTATCTTCGTTCACACATTTAACGATTGATTTGAATATTATCAGTTGCGCGAACTAGTCGCCGCAGCGCTGGCATCGGATCACTTTGACGTTTCTATACATGCTATAGAACTTGTATGCAATATTATTTGCGAGTTAGCGAGAAAGCTTGTTTTCCGCGAGCAGCCCGAGATATGTCGTTACTGAGGTCCTATGTTTTAAGATACTATGTTTTCAAGAAAAACTTTTTCCAAGAGTTACGTCTGTTTGTCTGTGCTTTTACCCTCAGAATGGCTATAACACTTTTTTTTCCGACGCAAGGACCAGTTAGCTTGTAACTGATGTTTAACTGGATATGTTGGCAAACATGCCGCTAATGGAATCCACAGACGCTTTTGTAAATCCTCCAAGCGTAGTTCATCGCATTTGCTGCAATGCATGCATGCCGAACATTGTTCAGTGAACAACCGTAAATAGCATGCTTCTCCCCAATCTGCCGGAATGTCTTTTTGAGTGCATCTGTCTGAATGGTTCTAATCTCACGCTATACTGCAATTATGTTTTTCCAAGTCATAAACTTTACCACCCACTGCATTAAGCGTAGGTTTTTGTGGAGTTGTACTTACTTATCGAAAAATCTGGTGCTCTGATGAATTAGGGCTGCTATACAGATGTAGGCGATACACTTTTTCACCCGGGGAATTGTACACCACGTTCTGGCGATGGGAGCATGGCAAACATACACGTACCTGCATGGAGTGTGAAAGGAAAGATAAAATTCAATAAACGTTACGAACAAAACAAAAACAAATAATGGTAACATCTTGGAAAGTTGATAACGAGATTTTCGAGTTATTGTTTTGGAGGATTCCGCTGACAATTTTCCATGCTAGAGGGATTGAATATTGAACGATAACAGCTTAAAAACTGTTGACGGTTGGTTACCTCAGGGAGGATTTTTCTATATTTTTGGACAAACTTGAAGCCAATTTTCGAGGATTTTCTATGACAAGCTGCTGGATAATTGAATTTGATGTTTCGTAACTTTAAGAGACTTTCCATCACTTATGTTTATGCGAATACTTGGTGTTTCGGCATGGCCATCAATAATAAGAATAAATGCGTTGATTTCATACTAAAGTGCGTGTAAGGACAATAGAGCCATCTTAAATCTTATTATAATTAAAAACATTGTATCTTTGTTGTTTGTTAACCAATCTTTATGAAATTTTTAGGACTTATGTATAAAATACCAAAACGTCATCGTTTCTCAGAATTACACTATGTTTCAATACAAAACTCCTGAGATATTGGGGAATATGTAATATTCGATGACCTTCACTGAAAAAGTTGTTTGTCTTAATGATGTTGATATACTTTTCCAAAAAGATGCCCACACATGATCAAAACACTGATGAATACCACATGAATTAATTCACAAAATTGTTATATTTGGCTCACTGAAAGTTTATAACAAATATTGTAATTTAAGCTTTTCAAGTGTTTCTTCATCAATCGAAGCAAATAAAATATTTTGTCATTCACACATTTATGTACGAGCGGCGCTGGTGGTGTAGTGGTAAGCGTGATTACCTCTCACCCCAGCAGGCCTGGGTTCAATCCCAGTCGGCGCCGCAGGGATGTTCTGAGGCATTACATCTCTGATCACGCTTTCCTTCGAAAGTGAAGTAAAGCCGTTATTCTCCGGTTCATGAGTTGATGGGTCGATAGGTAGGGTCCAGGTGTGGGAGCTGCCTCGCTGGCGTTGGTAGCACGGAAAACAAATCAAGGGAAACAAAACAAACATTTATGTTCGTCAAATATTATCATATAGCAAAATTTTTTATTTTATATATATCACCGTCTTCGACTAGTCGTACAGACTGAACTATTTTCTTATAAACTAAAGATTGCTTCTAATCCTATTTCTAAAAACATTTTTGGTCAAATTAAAATCAAATTCGTCACAAACAACATTGAACGAGCGAAGGCACGAATCGAACGGGTTGTTGTATCCGTAGTTTGTTCTGTGGTATGGAACTGCTAATAAAGGTGAGTTCCGAAACCGTCGGGGAGGAATGTTTAGTGGGATCTGTGCGAGAAGTTCAGGACAATCAATAAATCCTCCGATGACATCAAAAATAAATAATCGCTGCATCGTAACTCGTCTGGTAGATAGTGGCTCCAATCCTATGAGCTTACATCGGTCAGAATAGGGAGGAAGATTAGACGGATCGTTCCAGGGAAGCTGTCTCAATGCAAAACGTACGAACCTTTTCTGTACCCGTTCAATGGTAAGAACATGAACTACATAGTAAGGGGCCCAAACTGGAGCAGCGTACTCCAGAATGCTACGAACCAACGAACAGTAGAGAGTTTTTAACGCGTAAATGTCGGTGAACTCGGACGCATGGCGACGGATGAATCCCAGCACAGAAAAAGCTTTGGCAGTCATAATTCCCACGTGTTCGTTGAACCTTAGTTTCGTATCGATGGTAACACCGAGGTCGCAGATGGACGAAACTCGTTCTAATTCCGCCGTTTCCATCCTGTATTGATGCAGAATGGGGCTATTGCAGCGACTGAAGGAAATAATTTTGCATTTCTTGTTGTTAACTCGCATAGTGTTGATATCCTCTTGCAGAGCAAAGCAGTCCAAGAGAGAAGCTATGACACGATAGAATTTAAGGTCATCAGCGAATGAGAGCTTGAACGAGGAAAGCCGCAAACACAGATCATTGATGAAAATGTTGAATAATAGTGGTCCCAAAACGCTTCCTTGGGGTACACCAGACGTGATGTTGAAAGAGCGGGAACGAGCCGAGTTGATCACAACATTTGCGGTACGATCACATAAGTACGAAGAAATCCACTCCGTAATCCAATCTGGAAAACCTATGTGCCTCAGTTTCTCAATGAGCTGAATGTGCGGTACGGTATCAAAGGCTTTCGCGAAGTCAACATACACCGCGTCAACTTGCCGCCTCTCTTCTACTTCGCGGGACACTGTGGTGACGTAACACATGAGGTTCGTTGTTGTAGAGCGATGCTTCATGAAGCCATGCTGACCTTCGAAGATAATCGGAGACGCTACGTTGTATAAAACATTGTGCACCAGTTTTTCAAATATTTTACTGAGACAACAAAGAATAGATACTCCGCGATAGTTTGTCACCTGGTTACAGTTGCCTGACTTGTGTATAGGAACAACGTAAGCAGATTTCCAAGCCGCTGGAAAGGTCCTTTCACGAAGCGATTGATTGAATAAGTGAGCAATTGGATTCGCCAGTTCTTCGGAACAGTTTTTCAGCAGCAGAGGAAAAAAAAAAAGATTACAAACGTTTTGAAAATAGTATTTAATATTAAATAAATAAAACATTGATTAAGCGATTAAATGACCCCCGAAACATCACTTACTGCAGTTGCTGCTTCGTTTGTCAGAACAAGTTTTAAAAAGCGAGCATTTCGATTCGGTACACCATTAATCTCCGTGAGGCCGTGCATTTAGAAACCATCAGTTTGAGGTTAAACTTTCTAAGACCCATGTTATAATCCCGAAGAAACCCAACGTCTGAAACATAAGACAACAGCACTAGGATTTTGTCTTGCTTAATTCCCATCCTGGACCACTGTGCAATGGTTGGTATTCATTAGAAAGAGAGTGTGAAAGATTCATTGTGTTGTCATCATGAAATACAGGCAATACAGGTGCCATATTAAAGATGAAATTTTAATGACACTTGTGGCCCGCGGGTCACTTTGATAGTCACTGGATTCAATGGCTAAATTAATGAAACTCATAAAAATGATAGTCAACTCTGCACACCTCAATCTGTGCCAAATGTCTAAGCAGTGCCGAAAGCTGTTCCAAACTCTGTGCCGAAGCATACCAATCAAGTATCCCATGAGTTTGGCAACCCTGAAGTTTTAGTGACTTTTTTGATTGTTTGTGATTGTGCAAGGAAACGTAGGTTGCTGTATCTAACCTAAAATCATTGCGGCAGCACCGAAATTTCACCCGAATAATCAAACTGGGAATAATGATCCAAGATTCGAGCTGTTTAAGATCAACAAAACCTAAGCCGGTTCTGAAGCTCAACACCGTCGGATCCTGATAAATCCGGAAAAGCGCGTTAAACACGAGTGGTTCTACGTCCATGGAATTCATAATCAAACAGTACAACAGCGATAACAACTGCGAGGCATTGGTGGAACTGTTCAATCGGCTGTAAGCGGAGGACGGCTACCTCAAGATTCGTGGGGATTTTGAAAAAAAAAAGTTGATAAATTTACTCGAGGTGAACAAGTACGAGGTTCCAAATGTGGTTCTGTGTTGTATGCCAAGAGGATTGTTTGGGGGGTTATTCCGTGAGTCGAAATGATTTTTGTCACTAGTGAAGTCACATCAGTGACTCTCCATTTGATTTGCACAGAGAGTCACGTCACCACGACGTGACTTTTCTAACTTCACTAGTGACAAAGTTACTTCGACTCTCGGAATAACCCCCTTGAAGTGGTTAATCATCAGGTTCAAGTTGTTTAAACTTATATTGTTAGGTAAATAAAACGAAACTTTATTTTTTTTTTAAATAAAGCCTATCTAATAAATTGTCTAAAAATGTACAATAGGGTAACATTTTTTTTAAACTTTATTTTTGAGATTTTTAGCCAATAAATAACAATGATATGTTCAGATAGAATACGTTTTATGTCAAATTAGGTTTGTTGGAATAGAATTAATTCTAGAAAGAAAAAAAAAATACAACATTTAAAGAAAAAATAATAAGAAATATAAGTGATCAAATTGACCCCATTTTGCAGAAGCAATATTCTGAAAAACCGGCATTCGTTTACATTACCCGCAATTTTCTACAATATTATCAACTTTTATCTTCCACTCTATGATCTATCTACAGTAAGGTGTGCGTGACCTTTTTTTTGTTTGCCTTCATATAAATACAAAATGTTGACCGGTAGTGTAGATGCCGGCTTATCCTTTATCTGCGTTGTTCAATTTAAAATCAATATCTACTAGAGTCAATTTATCTCAACAGCATGGCACTTCACTCGGCATCTGTCGAACGATAATGGTAATTATACTGCGTGACTTGCTGCTATTGTACGTCAATCGCTTGTTTGCAGCGTTATAATTTTGCACAGCAGTGGCAGCCAATCCTGCTCGGAAGTGAGTAAATAATTTAGGAGGCTACTTACCTTTGTACGGCTAGTGCCAACGTTAACCAGACTGAAGCTGTATGGAACATTGCCGGTAGAAGCTGCAATATAGAGAAAATGAATAGATTAATTTTAGTGGTTGATTTTCAGCTTGGTACAATACACTTGCATAGATATCTTAAGTCAAAGTCCAACTACTCATCAGCTATTATTTAGTGCTGATTATGAGCTCGCAGATCGGAAAATTTGCTCATCGTCCATTCATGCAAGTATACTTCGCTCTACCCTTCTTGTATTATGCAGCAATCCAACAGAGCTCGTGAAAATGGCCCTGTAATCTATCGATATGTCATTTGATGTCTTCAGTTCTTCCCACCCAGTTGTGCGAAGTTGAGTTGCTGATGCAAAAGGGAAGCAAATCAATCAATAAGAGCGAACGTGTTATTGGTAGTGTCGAGCTAAATGAGTAGCAAATGAATCACGAAAAATGTATTACGGAAAAGTTTGCTTCATATGTCGCCCTATGGTAGAATTAGTTTATTACTGACATAAAAATGACATCAATAGTTAATACCAATCGATCAGTGTTTTGTATTGTGTTTGGTTTTGTCGTTTTCTTTGCGATTTTCATTTATAACTGAGAGTATGGCATTGATATCTTGCATTGGTGGTAAAATAAAATGTTTATTGGGTCCCAGGGGTTTGCTTCACATTCGATTAATCGTATGGTATAGATAGGTACGTTAAATTTTAAATAACTTCATGAGGAGAACTACATTGAATCATTCATTATTTCATATTCATAATCAGATTCGAGTAAAAGCAGCGTTGCTGTCATTTATTTCGCTTTACAAAATGTTTTTTGGAGGGACGGTCTCGCTGTAGTGGCTACCACCATACCCTTCTAGCCAAAGTCACATGTTCAAATCTCATCCTTGGTCAAGTCAGGAATGACCCAAGAGTGTTAAGCCATAATATATTTTTTTGAATTGATGATTTGGAATGATTTTATATTAGATGTTATGCTAATATTTCGTGCTTGTAAGTTACAAGAAAATGTTGTTTGGCAAATGAAACCTTGTTGTCAATTTCGTTTTCAGTGAATCAAAGTCACAACGATTGTATGTTCGGTGAGTATTCACTCTTCCTGAAACTGATTATAAAATTGTGACTCTATGAAAGTGAAATTGATAGATTTCATGTATGAAACACATACAATATTGAAAAATTCAAGTTATCATCATAACAGTTCAGTTATATCATCATAACATCTTCAAAATAGTTCAAGATATCATCATAAAATCGTATGATTTCATAATAACGAAAATATTTTTTATAGTCAAATGAATGACAACAAACTTGTGAAACAGTATCATCATTCTTCAATTAAGGCTCGCGAATGGAATCTTGTCATAATTATTCACAGAATTTGGACACATTGTGGGTATTATTACAGACTGATCGACATTCCATCGCACAGTGATCGAAAATGGCAAAATCATGAACTTAATTGAATTGTGTATTAAACTATGGACTTAATCAAAAAAGTGTGTTCAGAGGAATTGTTCAAATTAGTATTGCCCACAATTGAAGCATTTCAAAACTTTATCATGATCTTCTATGAATAAATTGATACACCTATTTTTTCCCCTAAAAAGATAGACAGATACTTTCTTCGGAAAAGTTGTTAAGCTACTCAAAATATGAAACTTTGTTGAAAATACCAGTCATATAACTAATAGTTTTAGATATATGGGCCGTTTACTTTTTACATAATAACTTTTCAAACAAATTATGTTCTAGGCAAATATAAACAAAGTAAAATTACATGTTTTTGCTTAAGACAGTATGTGGTTATGTGCAAAGTTATAGCACTTTAAATCTTATATTATTCTCTTTTTAACTGCTTATAGGAGAGAAGGTGGCAATCGGGACATAATATCAACTAAATACTCTTCTTAAAGCTTACACTTTGTAATACAAAGTAGTGAAGGTTTAGTAAGCGCCAATTCATAAATAAGTGAAACAAGTAGCTTGTGGAATTGAGTAGCAGTTAGTCCAGTTTGACTCGTTTTTGTATAGAAAATGAAAACACGCGAACATTCAACGTGACCCTATTAACTCAAATCTTACTTTTTAGTACAAAATCTAAGCTTTAAAAAGAGTAGTTGATATTGTGAGACACTGCCAGTTTGCCACCGTCTCCCGTATACGCAGCCAAAAATAGGATAAAATAAAGATAAGAAGTGCTATAACTTTGCAAGGAATACACAAATTGTTATTTTCAACAAAGTTTGATATTTTGAGTAGCTCTACAACTTTGCCGAAAAAAGGATCCTTCTACCTCTTTAGAGGAAATGGTAAGGTTTTGAATTTTTTTAATGGTACATTTTTGAAATTGTAGAATGGTGGACAATAATATGTAAGTGAATAATTCCTTTAAATACTCGTATACCTCAACGTGCAAAATTTAGAAATCATCATCATTTTCATAGTTCTTCTATTTTCCACGGGGCCAACTTTGATTTGATATTCGTTTATACACAATTCAATTAAGTTCGTGATTTTTCCATCCCCGACCACTGTGCATCGCGCTCGCTCAAATTTCTATTTCCGCTTCAACCTGAAACTGAGCTTCCAAAATACGTTAATTTACATTTTAATTAACCACCCACCTAGTTCTATCAACGTCAAAATCATCATCTGTGTCTTCCGATAATGAATGACCCTAATGACCTTCCATGATAGACTTCTTTTGGAGGGCGGTTTCTCGTTTGAAGTTACTCGCTAATCGCAATCGATTTTTTCCCAAGATTATTATCCTGACCAAATACTTTTAGCTTAATGTTTGCCTCAATAATTAATAATTGACGCCACGTTTTTCCCAACCCAGATGTTACTTTTCCGGTAAAAGTGCATGTTGAAAACGTAATGAATTTTGAAAGCAAAGTTAGCGCAATTTGAATGCGGCTTGCACTTCAAATTAAATTATGCCATAAATTTCCCCGAGAGACAAAATGAGTGCAAAATTGATGGCCCAACCTGAATCATTCGCGAATCCTGCACGTTCACTAGGAATCTCGAATGCGACCAAGTTTTCAATACAGTGCCTTCCCGTTTTTGGCAACACGTGTTTTTTGGTCACTATACATTCTGTAAAATGAATCTAATACTAATTTAAATTTATGACATTACTTGAGCGTTTTTGGATCAGAGAAGGCTGGTAATGTACTATTGTCATATTCCCTGAAAAATCCACGCCATTTTCCTCAGATGAAAAGCCGCAGCACTCATGACACCTTATATTATTTGATTTAAACGAAGTACAATCATCGTAGCCTTTTGAGAGGCATGGCCGTTTATTGTAGAAGGCAACCTCAGCGTGGAAATTGGGTTTCTGGAACGCCGCGCGACATACTAGATTCAATGAATCTACAAGTATAATAATAAATACAAAACTGCAAAACAATAAAAGTGATGAGGTCGTGTTGCCAAACGTGAGAAGGTACTGTATCCCTGTGCACGAATTGTGGCACAATGAAAAATTCCGGCTATTCTGCAGGAAACAAATCTCATTTGACTGCTGGCTTTCAGGTGTCCATGTGTACGCTGGTAAACCAACAAACCAACGCAACGTAGTCAGTCTACATATAGGTAGGAATAGCGTTACATTTCCATGTTATTGCCAACAGTCAAGCATTGAGGTCGGCAAAGCACACCTCAAATGATTATTAATAAGCCGTCGGTTTTCGGAAATGCAAACTGAACCTATATATCTACACCCGCTGTGCACTTCCATTAATATTGATTACTACTTGCTATTGCAGTTGTTGTGCTTCCGATACGTTGGAAACGGTGGGTAACAATTATCGGATATTCTACAGCCTCGGCGGTCAAATAAATCAGCTATCGATGGATGCTTCCATATTATTTATGCTTTAGTGGTGAGGGTTTCGCAGGTCATATTAAACTGGTCATTTAATGACGTTGTGTTATGAGCCGTAGCAGTCTTCTTTCATAAAATGCGTTGGAATAGTGAGGATTAAATGAAAATGGCATTTTTAATTTAGCGCACAGGCCTTTCAATCTATGCTTCTTTAACCCTTTTCAATCGTTTATATATAAAGAATCTTGAACATTTCACCGTTTAAAAAGTCGTTTATTATGTTAATTTTCCTCCACGTAAACTACCCATGTAACAATTTTGGATTTATGAGGGTTCCGTAGACCATGATTTAGACTTGTACACAGCAAAAAAATAATTTTGATATCACAGCAAAATGGATGCACTTCAATCGTGTCAAAAATATGGTGTAATATTACTTGCCAAAAAGGACATAATTATCAATAATACAGTGCATGAACTGACATTACGCTGCTTTTACTGCATTTGTTTATTTTTTTGGCCATAAAAATTACATGAGATTTTCGACATGATTAAAGTGCATCCTCTTGGGTGTAATATTAAAATTAATGTTTTGCTGTGTAGAATGCTTTAAAACCATGCTAAAACTTGCAATTTTGCTTGGGTAGTAACTTTTGCAAAAGGAAATTAAACTGTTCATGGTTATAAAGAGAGAGAGAAAGATTAGTAATTTCCATTTAATTCCACTACCTTATTTGCTTATCCTTGACAGATACGCGTATTTCGTCTACAATGTGCAAACTTCTTTAGTGTCTTGTACTAATACTCGACTGAAGAAAAACATCGCATTTTACCGAATATATATTAACACAGTTACAAGACTCTACTACCTATATTTAACACAGGATGTCAGCCCTTCAAGAAATATTCCCAATCGTGTAGTCTTCTCCGATTTCGGCAATTCAGTGAATTTTGATTTATCTATGACGCAGGAAATCCGCGGAATTCCAGAGCATCATCGTCCTATGATTGCTCCGTCATTATACGCTGCAAAGTTTGGCCATGTTGATTCTGCAAGAACGTTTTTCACAGATGGATCTCTAATAGAGGAGTCCGCTGGTTTTGGTGTATTTAATGAATTTCATAGCGCCTCTCGAAAACTTGAAGCTCCTTGTTCTGTGTATGTGGCTGAACTGGCAGCAATTCACTACACTTTGGAAACTATTGCTTCACTTC